CTTGGGAGTAGAAAGTGTCACCATGTTGTTTCGGCCACTTCCGTAACTGTGATGGCTCCGAGTCTTTGCATTGACACGCTGTGCTGCTTTAGGCCGGCGCTCAAGACGATCCTACAGGGGTCGGCGCACACTCGAGTGGGGTGGCACTTGCAGGTCTTTGCAACAGGAATGTCGTTTGTCTTCGAGGTCATTGTCGTCATCTCTACTTTGATCGTCGTTCTCATCTTTCAAGGGTGTGACGTGGCGGGTCGGAGCCTCACAGTGTACCGCAGCCACGTCAAGTACATATTCTATACATATTCCGTACATATTCCATACATGTTGTGACTTGTTGTAGTTCAGTAGTTGCTTGGGTCACTGAGTGATTCTGTATTCGTCTGTTTTTCTATTCGCTGGGATGCCAAGGAAGAGTTGCATCGAACGGGAGCTTGAATTGCGGAGGATAATCACTTCACTGATCGACAGTCCCACTCGGTGCCCGGGTGAATTGCAGAATATCTTCCCCAAAGATGCTTTTACGCATTTTCTAGATGCGGCGTGGTGGAGAGCGTCTTTGACGAGCATCGTATTTCTTACGCTTGTATCCCTACTTCGTGATCGACCGGATGCAGTGTTTCATTCACGGTTGGAGAAGACGCAGCAGGTTACAGTTGATGCTACACGTCTCCCTGGCTTCTCGGGCTACATGTGGTCTGTGCTGCTTGTGCTGTCATTTTGCCGCACTCTTCTGGACGTGCGCGTTGCCGTTGTGTCGGGCCGCACGAAGATGGCAACGGCAATGCAGGTTGTGCACTCTTTGCCAGTAGCATGTCAACAATCTTTAGGACGAGTAGGTGCAGCTTCTTTCTTGGAGACAGTTGATATGTATGAGTTGGTTGTGCTTCAGCTTGCAGGCGCCCTATCGCGAACTGAGCACAAACAGCACATTTACCAACTAGGATTCCGCACACGATACATTGGCAGGGGATTGTTAAAGCGTGCATCAACGAATTTGCCTGGAGGTACGGGACGTTTTCGTGAGCATGTTCAGTTGTGGATTGCGCCGGCAGGAGGAAAGCGACGAGGACATGATGCTGGTCTGACCCGCTACCGTCTTCTGAGGCAGGGGAACAAGTTTTCAGTACACGTTTTGTTCTTGGATGTTGTGGATTCGAATGTCGCGGATGCAAAAAAGGCGGCTCATATTGAGTTCAGCCGGCCTCAAGCCAATACCACGGTTGTGTCCACCGCCTCAGCCAAAGAACATGTTGGTCTTCCGCGTACTCCGTCAGGCCTTCGTCCCAAACCGCGTCTACGTGCGAACCGATCAGACAAACGGACGCGGGGAGGTATGCAGTGTCAGTTGCAGCAGAGGTCAGCCAGCTTTCACGGCCATATGTTGACAATACTGTGCAAAAAGGCTGCGGCTATTCTCACATACCGGCGGGAACTGTTCCAGGCGCGGCATTTGCTTCGAAAGCCGTTCAGACTGCTCTACGGCTTGTTTCTGGCTGCTGAGATCGCACGCTCGGGCCAAGCGGGCCCATTGAACATCTATGAACCCAACTTGCTTCCATTACTTTTGAAATTTACGGCTCTCAGGGGTGATGATGTTGATTGGTCGCGGGTCTTCCTTACTTATGCATGTAATCTGGACGCCTCGCTGGAGGTATGGGAGGCTTGCGGCATTCTCCCACATCCTGTAGACCGGTTCCGCGCGAAGCGTGCCATGGAGCAGTGGTTTCGGCAACACGGAGTGCCAGTTCCAACGCCGTGGCGCTTCGTAGTGCCCTCCGCTGCTTGGGTGCCTTTCGCCTGGAAGTCGGTGGGGAGGCTCGTGGTTGTGTTGGCCGCGACATCCCCCACGCTCGCACGTCTCCAATGGCAGAGTTTCCGTGTTATTGTATCGGGCAGGTGCACGTTGAAGCGTGTTGTTTTGAACGTTGTCCGTTGGTCGAACAGCTTCAGCCCAATGGAGTTCGGTCGTTTCGATGCCGATTCTTTGAACTGGTGCGCAGAAGGCATAGACATGATCAGGTTCCCTATCTCTGGGCGGTGGCCTGTGCAGATTGCGCATGAGGAGCAAGAGTGGCAAGTTGCGTGTGAGTTCGAGAGGTTGGTCTCTTGTGCAAGGTCGTTTGAGGCAAACGCTTACATCGCCAACTTGCTTGTCGATGCGCCTCCGCAGCCCCAGAGGACGACGCCGTTGATTGACTGGGCGTCCCGGATTGCAACGTCGTTATCGCAAATCGGACGTGACGTGTGCATCACGACGGAAGATAAAGATAGCAATGTGTTGTGGTTGTCCTCCTCACTTGCACTCCGAGCACGCTGGGTGGCCCAATTTGCGAAGTTCCCCAATACGTGGCGGTTCAGGTGTCAGAAAGATGTTCTCCACAGCGCTGTCCAGAAATACCGTTTCGCAAACGACAGCGGTCTGCCCAGGTCTTTGCGGCCTCGTTCTACGGCCGTCTCCCGAGGCACGTTACCATACATGTACCCGACCATAAAAAGAAAATGTTGGAGGTCGTTTGCTGACCCAAGCACGACTCAGGTTCACATGTGCAGGAAGCCGGTGCACTCATGCCATAGGAATATCATTAGTTTCTCGAAGGTGCCCGCGAAGCAAGCGTGGCGAGCATGTGCACGCGCATTCATGTTCATGATTCGATCCTGTCTGAAGGGGTGGTCTTTTCAAAGCATGGACACAGTGGTGTCAGAAATCCGCGCTGCTATGATTGCAACGCGGTCGGGCTCCAGGGACCTGTTTGGACGTCGAGTGTGTTCCGCCTGCGGATGCATCATGCAGGTACCTGGTGCAGTCACCGCCGATGCTGGGCAGGCGTTCGAGGCTTTGTCGGAGGATTCAATCAAAGACGCCTGTGATGATATTTTCCATCGATTCGAAGCCGTGTTTGGGAACTCCACCGTTTCTGTAACGAAAGGCCGGCACCCGTCTGCCAGCCTCGAGGGTAGCACCAAAGCCCCGTACCCCGACAAATACGTGTTCACCACAGCCACCATCCGGAAAGCCATCGACACATATTTGAATATGCGTTGGTACAGACTTGGCGACGCAATCTGGGAACAAATGTCGGGCATCCCGATAGGTGGATTCATGTCTTCTGCGATCCTGGAGGCGGTGCTCCAACACCAGGAGCACAGAGCTGACGTTGCCCGCCTTGAACGTGGCCATGAACGGGTGCGTGGCCGGTATGCCGACGATTTGGTCCTTCTGAGCCGCTCGCGGTGTGCAGCTTGCTTAGCGGCAGAAATCCCAAATGTGTACGGTAACGCTTTGACCTTTGACGTCGACGACAAGCACCATGAGTTTCACGATTCAGTGTCGGTGGAGTATCTGGACATGGTTATCCACGTGTCTTTCGATATGTTAGAATTTACGACCGTACATAAGAACTTTACTTATTATGCTTTCAGTGGCAAGGTGGCAGACATAAAGAAGCACAGCATGGAGCCGTATCTGGGATATTTCAATAGCAGTGTCGTGGCCAGGCACAGGGGCGAGCTCATTGGGCGTGTCCGACGCTGGCGGACAATCACAGAGCATCCGCTATGTCTTGTTGTCCTCATCGCTGTGGACATGGTCCTCTACATCCGAGCGGGTTTCGCTTTGGAGCGCGTTCGATTACTGTGGCGCTCTCTCCACGTTGATCTTACATTCCGGAACCTCGTCTGGGCGAGCTTCGACCTGGTCAAGTACAGCTGTGCACACGTTCGGCCCGCTCCTACGTCTCAGCTGGCTGAGATGCAGCGGGCTGGCGACTTAGCCCAATCCCTGGCGTGCTGTTCAGCCGGAGACATGGCCGCCCTGATGGGCGTTGTTGGTCGGCTGGTCCCGGCTGCGAGGACGGGACAAACGGCTCCGAAAGCGACTGCCCTGGCCGAGGCGCTGAGCTCGCTCCTCCAGAGCTCCGTGTGGACGCCCTGGCTTCATCCGGCCATAGCGGCGGACTTTGCCAGGCGTGT